CTTTCCCACAGTCTTACTAAATGATGGAATTTCTATCAGAGTTACACAACATAACAGATCGTATATTTCATCTTCCTGTTTTCAAAGTGGGGTCTTTGTCACGCTGAGCAGCAAAGGCTTTGTTTGCGGAGTCTGAGAGCTATGGCGCCCACGGGGCCATTTGTGTGCGCCCGCCAAGTGCTCAGGGCTGGCCTGGCCCCGGGCACGTGGTGCATGCATGGAGCCGGAGCCGGCCCGGGCGCATGGCGCACAGTGAGCGCTGGCCCCGGGAACGCCGCGAATTAGCCACCCACGCTCTGGGTGCGCGGCGCTTGGGGGGGCGCCGGCCCCAGGCGCTTGGAGAGGGGCCTGGGGGGCGAGGACCCACGCTCTGGGTGCGCGGCGCTTGGGGGGGCGCCGGCCCCAGGCGCTTGGAGAGGGGGTCGGCCCTGGGCGCAAATTAGCCGCCCGCGCTGTGGAGTCCAGGCTGCAGCAGTGAAGAAGAAAGGAGCCAGGTAAACCCCCAAGAAGAGGGAGCCCCCCTCCCATCCCCTGCCAGGCAGCCGAGGCCTCCACTCAGTGGGTATGTCTACACTAGCCCCCTAGTTCAAACCTAGTTTAAATATGCCGGGCTTCATTTGCATCTTCCCAGGCGCCGCCATTTTTAAATGTCCCTTAGTCTGAACTCCATGCCTGCGGCTACACGCGGCACGGAGTAGGTAGTTTGAATTAGGATCTCTAATTCGAACTACCGTTACTCCTCGTAGAACTCCTAAAAGCAGAAAAACACCTGAGATAATTAACTCGATTGCTCCCTCAGACAAGTCACTCAAGTCCCTTGCACTATTTACTAATATAACAGTCACTGGCAGTATGGGCTCAGTAGAAATTTGAGAAAAGTAAATTTATTCACCAATATCTACTTCAGAAGTAAGTGAGGGTATATCTACACTACAAAGTTAATTCGAAATAACAGCAGTTATTTCGAATTAACTTCAATAGCGTCTACACAGGCAAACTGCTATTTCAAAATAAATTCGAAATAGTGGAGCCCTTATTTCTAATTTGGTAAACTTTACTCTACGAGGATTAACACCAAATTCGAAATATCTAATTCGAAATAAGTGCTGTGTAGACAGTTATTTCGAATTAGGGGGCTTCCAGCCCTTCCCAGGGAGCACTGGTGGTCACTCTGGGCACAACCAGGAAAACTTGTCTGCTCCCCACCAGCTCCGGAGCTCTTAAAGGGGCAGACTTTGGCCGCAGTGCTTGTGCCAGTTGCCAGCACACAGCCAGCAGACTGTGCACCTGGCACAGCATGAGCCAGCAACCCGCTGCCATCCAACACTCCACCACTCCCCAGGACCAGGCTGGTAGCTCCCAGTAGCCTGCCAGGGGCCGCAAAAGGCAGGCGCCTTCCTGGTCTAGTGCGGGGATCGTGGACCTCATTGAGGTTTGAGGGGAGGCCTCCAATGCCCACGATATATGCACTAGGTGCAGGAATGTGGCTGTCTACACCTGCATGGCTGCCAGCCTGGCCACCAGAGGCCACATGCACAGCCAGGAGCAGGTGCGGAGCAAGATCAAAGAGCTGTGGCAGGCCTATGCCAGGGCCTCCCAACCAGGAGCTGACCTGGAGGCCTGCCTGCAGTTCGAGGCCCTGGACTACATCCTGGAGGGTCAGACGGTCCATGCCCCCCTGGTCGTCATCGACCCCAGGGAAGAGGGCCGTGCCCCGACACAGGGGAAGAGGAGGAAGAGGAGAAGGACAGCAGCCTGGAGCCTGCAGGGAGTGTGCCCTGCACCCAGGACCCCCAAGCCGTACCGGAGAGCCCGTCAGCAGCCTCATCCGAGGCCGGGTAGGTCTCCACATGTGAGTCACATTACATTCCCCTTATGCGGAGTGGGTGGAGGGAGGGGGAGCCCATCCCAGGGACCATGTGCGTGAGCCTTGATGACCACGGAGCAGGCAGCAATCTCTGTATCTGCCATGCCAGCTGCGACATGTGGCCCCAGCTGGGTGCCATGCAGAGGCCCTGGCCTGTTCCTCACACGCGTCTACATGTGAAGGCACATGACAGGCTCTTGACCCCGGGGAGAGACACTGCACACTGCCCTTCCTCCAGATGCTCCCTCTACATAGAGGCAGGTCACATCTCCCCTGTCCCCCCCCACACTACACTAGAGGCAGCACAGGGGCTGGGGTGCAGTCCTGGGCCAGCTCACACTCCCAGGGATAGCAGAACGTGATGGTACGGAGACCTGCCGTCCTCTGTGTCCCCAAGGAGAACTGACCACTTCTCTTGTTTCACCACAGCCGCAGCACCTGCGAGTGCAGGTTGCAGCACCTGCGAGTGCAGGTTGCACCACCCCACCTGGGCCATCTACCTGCACCCGGGCCAGCAGGCACACCTGCAACCAGGAGGAGTTCCAGAGGCAGCAGCTGAAATTCCAGGGATGGCAGGTCCACAGCCAGGAGCAGTGGGTGCAAGAAGACCTACAGCTGCGGTGGGAGAGCTTGCAGGAGCTGCAGGAGCCCGGCCCTGCCCTCCGCGGAGTACCAGCGGCGGCACCTGCGGCTCCTGGAGCAGCAGCTCCGCACCCAGGACCACTGGGTCCAGGAGGATCTGTGGCTGCAGCAGAGGAGTTTGGAGGCACTGAAGGAGCAGGGCCGTGGTTTCAGAGGCCACCTCCAGACCTTGGTGGACAGGTTCCTGCCTCCTCCTGCTCCGGCCCCAGCGGCCATCCCAGCTCTCGCTCCTCCTCCCACCCCTGCTCCCCCTCCCGCTCCTTGCACACACCCCCATCCCTCCTGCCCCACCCTCCATACCCACTCCCCCCTGGGAACACAGAGACCTCTGCACCTGCAGTGCTATGAGAGGGGAGGGCCGGCAGGGTCCCCAATCCTGAGCTTCCCCTCCTTCTTCTTCCCCTTGCCTCCCCCTTCCAGCTCCCTCCTCCCAGGTTTCCCCCTCCCCTCTCCCACCCTTTCCCCCCCTTCTCCTCACCCCAGTTATGTTATATAAAGAGATTTCTTTGAGGCAACACAGGTGTTTTTATTGCACATCAGGAAGGGGGGTTAGGCAGGGGAAAGGGGAAGGAGGTGGGGGTGGAATGTAAGGCACAAGGCTCCAGTGGGGTATGCCAGGGAGACTTCAGTCCTCATCCGCTTGGTAGCTCTCCCACATTGCTTCCCAGATGCGGACAGCCCCCTGAAGTGCCTCCCAGCCCCCCGAAGGGCCTCCTGGCTGGCAGCCGTGCAGGGCTATGCATACTGGCCATCCAGGCAGTCAGCCTCTGCCATCCAGGCTGGCAGGAAAGCCTCCCCCTTCTTCTCACATAAATTGTGAAGCACACCGCACGCTGTGACCACATGCGGAATATTGTGCTGGGAGAGGTCGAGGTGGGTGAGGAGGCATCTGAATCGGGCTTTCAGTCGGCCAAAAGCCCCCTCGACCACAATGTGGGCCCTGCTGAGCCTGGCATTGAAGGCCTGCCGGGAGGGGTTGAGGTGTCCTGTGTAGGGCTTCATCAGCCAGGGCTGTAGGGTGTAGGCCGCATCCCCAGCAGGCACACTGACATGTCCATGTCCCCGACCCTGATGTGGCGGTCGGGGAAGAAAGTCCCAGTGTTCAGCCTCTGGCACGTGGAGGAGTTGCGGTAAACCCACATGTCATCTGCTTTGCCAGCCCAGCCCATGTTGATATCCAGGAAGCGGCCCCAGTGGTAAAGTACCCCTTCCTATCGATGTAGAGGGAGGCCTGGTGGTCCAGGGCACGGATGGGGATGTGTGTCCCATCGATTGCCCCCCCGCAGTTGGGGAAGTCTAGGGCACCGACCCCCTGGATGACTGCATCCAGGTCTGTGAGGCTGACGACTCTGCGGAGCAGCACCCTGCTGATGGCCTTCACCATCTGCAGAGAGACACATGAAACAGAGGGTCACTGGGGTGCCCAG